AGTAACACGTAAATGCGTTTTCTTTTCAAAATAAGACTAATTTTTTCTTTTTACTAAAATAAATAAAACGATATAACTTCACAAAATCAAAGCGAACGGGTCTTATTTCAAAAAGGAAATAATGACACTTTTATTAGGAAATTATGTTATGCTTTACTAATTTTTAGAGAAATTTCCTTTTTTAGAAATAGGGATTTGAGCATAACTGTGACTTAAATTTGTTGGATTGCCTAATGAACCTTTTATTTTTGTAAACCTAAATAATTTACAAGCTACCATCACCGGATCGCTGGATATATCAAAATATTGATATTTTGCCGGAGGAACACGTAAGAGGGCTGGAGCATGCTCGGGTAAACAAAGTCAAAACTCATGAAATTTTGAACCCGAGACCTCTCCGATCATAGAATGAGTCAAGGTGAACCTGAACTGGAGTGCTTCCTCTTATACTCCATATTTTGTATAATGTATTCAGTATTTTGGTATGTTTCTCAAGTATACTACGTATGAAACATTTTTTAAAATTATATATAGATATCGTATTGCGGAGTATTTTTTGTGAAACCGTAGCATATCATGCTAAAATGTTGACCTAATCATTATTTATGGATATGGCGTACCAAATTTTGGTGGGTATTTTCTCCACCTAGACCAGACGTGGAAAAGAAACGGATGGTGGGTGATCGTTTTGTGTTCAAACATTTGCATTGACGTTGAACTAATATATACGTATATACATAACAATACGAGTAACATGATTACACTTGGGGTGGAAATAGGCCAGCCGGCCGCCTGTGAGGGGCCTGTGGCCTGACCTGTTAAAAGTCTGGTCCGGTATGTTTAGTAATCAAATCAGGTTTGAGTTTTTCAAAAAGCCTGTTTATCTAAATAGGTCAGACCTAGCCCAACTCTGAAGTCTTTTTATCTTAACAGGCCGGCCTATTTATATGTGTATATGTGTGTGTGTGTATATGTAGTTATATTTATTTATATTATTTACATTTATATTTATATTGGTATACGTATTTAACTATATCAAATTCGGCATAGTAGTATTTTTATGGAGTGTGTATTATAAATTAGAATTGAATACAATTTTAAATATATATAAAGTGTGTTAATAGTTTATTAAGATAATTGAAATTCAAGTTTTTCAATATTTGAATTACATAAAAATTTATTTTTACTACATAATAATGTACGTATTATTAGACATCCAAAGCAAAACTAACGTATTATTAGACTTTTTAGTAAATATTTGGGGGAATAAATTTTATACCGGGTTAAAAGGATTTTTCACTTTTATTTTTTTATTTTTTTGAAATTTTATTATTTTTTTCTTAACAGGCCCAGTAAACAGGCTTCAGGTCAGGCCAGGCTTTTAAACAGGCCAGACTCAGACCTATATATTCTAAAACAGGCCGGGCCTGTTTAGGCGAAAGCCTGGCCTGACCTGACCTGTTTCCACCCCTAATTACACTTTATCTTTCTCAAAGGGTTAGCAAGGAAAACTTCTAAATTACAAACATGTATTTATTGCGGTTTATTATTCTTTGTGACTATGAAGTAAGGCAAGTAGTCAACTCACAAGAAAATGAGGGATATATTCAATTGAGAGAGCCAATTCAACAAGGCAAAAAGTCACAATAGCCTAAAGATGTGGCGGCATCTTTAAAGTATGTTTTATTAAGGGAGAGAAAGGTAAAATGTATTTCTCTGTCTCTATATTAACTTCTAACGTACATTGACACGGATTAACATAGTGAATATTATGTGGTGTAAAATTATGCAGAAGAAATGTAAATTTGTAAGAATTATTGTGACAGGAACAAACTCTTTAACAAAGAAATATAGAAATTTATTTTGGGACGTTCAAAAAGGAAATTTGTAAGTTTAATCAGGGATGAAGGGAGTATAATGGATTGACATTTCATGGATTGTACACGATCAATCATATGCTTCTCGTTTTTCAATTTGATTATATGCCCGGCTACATTATGTAATTGTGTATGATTTTTTTCACTTTCCAACGCGGTAAATAATGTAAAAGTAAGTTTAAAAAAAGATATTTGCATTCCATTAGGGCGTATTTGAGTCCAGTCAAGCCCATATGATATTATAATTGAGTTTGATTTTGAACTCCTCAAACTCGTGTTGTTCAAGTAATAAATTTGATACTTGAAAATAGTAGTAAGTCAACTAACCAGGTAAAGTCGTGTTAGTGTATCACGTACAAATCGACTCATAGCGTTCAAATCCGTTGTAAAACCTTTCAAGTACAATTGTCATCCACCTTTACCAAATTACATTAGGCATAATGTGGATCACATGTACCAAAAGATTCATAAAACAGTACTAACATTAATAACAACGAAAATATTTAATTTAGTATTTATCCACATAAATCAAAGGAGAAGCTTGCATGTCCAATTAAGAACTACTCCGTAATATATAATTTGCAAGTATTCATCCATTAACATTTATATATAAAAATAATAATTATGCCAAACAGATGAGGAAGTTCTTTCACCGACCCCGGAGCACATGTTGCAATCACAAGCTTCAATTTTGAAATGTCTATTAGTACTATTGAGACAATTAGTACTATTATTCATCTAGTACTTGTGAGAAAAGGCTAACTATAAGTACTGGTGGACTCGGTTCGGGCCGGGCCCGGTCCGGGCCTTGAACCGGCCGGGCCTCGGTTCAAGGTAGGGGAGGCCCGGAACCGGCCCCTGTAACCCCCAGGTCCGGTTCGGTTCAAATACAAAGCCTTCTTAATTTACAAAGTACAAACTCATCTTGACCGTCCGATGAGTTGATCCAAAGGACATAAAGGCAAGGTGACATTTTTGTAATAAAACCCAACTTTTTAGGGTGCAACTCGTTGCACCTTAATGTGCAACTGTTATTTTTATGACTTTATAATGTGCAATACTTTGAACCTCAATATGCAATGCAAATAACGTCAAGGTGCATCGTACAAATATTTGCATAATAAGCACACTTTGTACTTGATCTTTCCCCTATATATATACTAGCGGGTGCACGCGCGTTGCGCGAGTATTCATGCCCAACGCGCAAAATTAAAGGAAAAAGCATATGGCGGTGGACAGACCCGGAGTCTTAGTGACGTGGTATTGGCTTACTTCCTCACTTGCTACCATAATCAGGATGGAATACTAAAGATATAAATATGGTATAAAGCCATGCCTTACGGTAAGCAAAGGAATTGAATTCCCAGAAAACTTTTGGTGCTTGTAAATCGCTAATTTGAATGGAATATTCATGAGAGGATCATTGTGGTGTGTTATTTAATAGATGGAATTGAAAGAAATGGCTGAACATGAGCTGAATTGAATATTACGAAATAAATGAAATAGGAAAACAACAGAAGAAAAGTTGCAGAACTTAAATATTGTGAAAATCAATTTACGAAGACTTATAATGAGCAATAAACAATTAACTCACCTAAAATGAGGACACTAACTTGATGTAGCATAAGAGATGCCACAAAACTAAAATAAGGAAACTCGCTGCATAAACAATTAACTGACCTAAAATGAGGCCACACATTAGAGTGGAATCATTTCAGTTGAAAACCAGTTCCGGGCCCCTATATACGAGAGCCTATGTGTTCCTGCTTTGAGACAAGATGAATTTTATAAGTTTATGCAAGTTTCGGTATAAGTAAAGTTGCCCGATGTCACAATGCCTAGTGTGGAAAAACACGATTGCAGAATTCTCAAAAACGTTGAAGTGTGCAAATGATATGTATAGAAGCTATGGCTGAAAAGGGGCATGACTGAGATGATTATCAACTTCACATTGAGAATTATAAACAAAGCAAGCACCACACCAACAACGAGGTCACCGATTTAATCAAAAGCAACACCATCAACAATAAACTCATCAGTTTACCAAATATAATTTGACGATAGGGGAGCTTTAAACAGAAAATCACGCAAGGTGTAACTAAGTGCTGAATAAGCTACATGAACAAACCTTTCTGATGTGTATTAACAAGGTTCTTGTTAGCAGCTGGTCCGATCCATATAGGCCAACTTAAGCACACCACACCATTCATCTTAGTCAAGGCACGTAATTGATCACTCTCATCCTCTAACCTGACAAATCCATAGCCCTTGGAAAGCCCAGTTTCCCTATAGGTGACACTAAAGCAAAAACAATGTCTTATCTACTAAAGCATGAATGAAAGTAATTTCTAAGTAAAAAAGAGCAAAGTTGCAGCCTAGCATTCCGAGTATTCAGAATTCTGGGTTTTTATTGTTTTGTAATAACCGTGTGCTAATTTTTTCAGTTTAGTGTAAAGAGTAGGTTGGGATTATTCAGTTTTGTTATATCAGCATGGTTCTCAACAAAAATGCATCCCTCTTAGCAGTCAAATTCTAATCCCGTTTTTTTCTTCTCTTCTTCCTCCAGAAGCCTATAACTGTCACATGTTTCAGCAAAGTAAATAACAAAGAGGCTAAGTAATTTGCAATAAACTAATAATACTAACCTACATATCCCGAGCCTGCACCGGTTGATAAGTCATTATTTTTTGCTCTTCCAGCATTTTTTGCTCTTCCAGCACTTACTAAACAGCATATAGCTAGCTTAGCTGGTGATACAGAAAACACAGTCTACTATGCAATCATATTCAAAGCACTCACAGACTGTTTTTCGCATATAGTGCTATAGAATTTGTCCCATATCACTGCCAGGAGCCAACATGTCAACATGCAATTAAGTAACCCTTAAAAACAAAAATAAAATCCCAAGACATCATCTTACTTACTTTAAAATCCTAGCATGAAGCTGAATCTGTAACACTCCGGACAATAACTGCTTGAATCAAATACGGTGTTTTAAATACTAATCCAGTTTTTTGTTTTTTTAATCAAATCATTTTGGCCCAATCATGGGAATATGGGATTAGATATTTAGAGATAACCAAGTTTGGGATTAGATATTTACAGAGAAAATAGTCCAAACATAGTAACTTGTGCAAAAAGAACACCGCATGTACAGAGAACCAAGTTTGGGGAGGGGCCGTGGACACTAATAATTGAGCAGCGAGTAAGCCAATTGTATAGACCAACTCGCCACCAATTATAGACCACGAATGTTTCAGCAAAACAAGCCTTCAAGGCAACAAAAAATATATACAAGCAGCACAACCAAAGAACTAAGAGCAGACGCAGCTGGGAATCCCCACGACCGGGCAAATGGGCAACATAATCTATGAGTCGGACAATTTGCGCTTTCTGGCACGCTGGTTTGTGAGTGGCTCATCAGTAGGAGTAGTTCCATGCACAGGCAGATCTTTGACAGTCTCAAAGTTCAGGCTTTTTTTCGCTTTGGGGAGCAAAATGGGTCCTGGCGGGGCAATTTTGTCCTTGCCAACAGCATCTGTGAAAGGTTTTGGTTCAGCGACACACACTACAGTGTACGGGTTCCCTTGGGCTCGCTCTTCATTAAATTTAGTGCGTTTCACGCCAGCGATAATGTCAATTTTTTGCAGTTTTGCGTCAAATGCCTCGAGATCAACGGTGTCTTCTACGTCCATGTGCACGAATTCAAATAGGGACAGAATGTCCGCTGTGAAGAGAGTCACGGGAACGCTAGAGGTTCCATCACTCAGTGAAGCATCAAGCCGGAACCTTTAAAAAACATAAAAACATAATAACATAAATGGGATGCTGGCAGTAGCAAATGGACAAGAGAGCAAAAGAATGATTGCAAACTGTTTAATTACACTTCCTGCACACACCTCTTAACTGATTTCCCTTTTTTCTGACCACAGAACATGCATTCAAAAGTCACCCCTTCCATGGCATAAACCCTTATGTTACAATAGTCACAACCCACGTAGAAACCATCATCTGAAGTGTCCATTAGAATGAACTTTCCCAACACCCACTCAACAGGAATCTGTGTCAAATGTTAAACAATTTAGAGCGAGAATAGTTAAATCATAAGTAGCAGCAAAGCACAAATATGACAAACCTCATTTAATTTTGCTTCCAGCCCAGCAACAGGCGTGTGAGGCTGGGACAAAGGTTTGGCTAGAGCACTAAGAGCATCCTCATAGACCTTCTCTAGCATCATTTGATCAACTTTGTGGACATTTTCAACAAGCCTTTCATTAAAGCATGTTAGCGTGCAACGGGGAAACAAAAACAATAAATGAAGATAATATCATATACTCACCACTTCTTTAACAACAGCGCACGTTCACCAGTTGGATTGAGTTCCAAACGGGTATCAAATCTGGTTGCCAGAGTGAGGCCTATAAAAAAATGGGAGCATGTTACATCAAGATATACCAACAGATGGAGTAAAGGGAAAACCAAAAGGCATACTACCTTGAAAAAGGTTGACAACAATCCTTTCAATGAGAACCAGTGGGTGATCCCCCTCTTCGAGAAGTCGTTCAATTTCAGTTCCATGACTGGTGACAAAATCTTCCTAGAGAGTGAGAGGAACGGGGATACACCTTGATAATAAAGATGGGGAAAAGGATGAAATGCATGCACAATTATAAGAGTATTCACTATAACACAATAGAGGGTCAAGTGTTACGGGCATACTCCTCATTAATGAGAACGATGTCCCAAGCAGGTTTCTGATGTCCATCCGTCACAATGAATGCACGAGGCAATTTCTGAACAACTGCAGCCAGAGCACCTGCAAATGTATGAAATCAACATTATGTGGTTGAGCAATTGTAAGGCAGCCAAAACTGCAGAGCGGAGACATACTTATTTTTTCATTACGCAAGTGGCAGTCATAGAAATCACGAAAAGGCTTAGTCCCTGCCTCAAGGAGAAGGGCGCAATCAATGGCATCTTCAGGAGTAACATCCTGAATGAGGGTTCTTCGCGTGAATGTCCAAACAAACTGGTAATTAAGATCAACACAGTATCGCAGATCAGTGGCTGGCTTTACAAAAGCATTTGAGATAAGGTAGGTTGAGTGCAAAGCAAGACGTTGATCAATCACAGCAATGTCCCCCTGGAATGCAGCTGCCTGCACCTTGTTTCCCTGCAAAACACAATATAACAAGTCAGAACAACAGGTTTGGAGTGCACGCCATTAAGAAGTCAGTTCAGATTCCATAATTGCCATTTTCGCATGAGCACAGACCAGCAAAAGGTTGGGAGATGATGAACCTACCGCAACATCCATCAGTATGAAGTGCATGAATTTCATAGGGGAATTTTTCGCTGTGCGTACGTTGTGTTTTTCAACAACCGTAAGGCGGCATGACCACATTCCTATTCCTGGCTTGACTTCCGGGAGCAACATTTCAACTGACATAGTTGCTGAGAACCTGCACTAAGAGAAAAACATTTCAGAGTTGGAACACAACCAGTGCAATAGTGAGAATTAGTGTTATAAGTTAAACATAATACAAAGGGAAGCATGCACACCAGTACATAAGCAGTTGTTAACAAATGAAAGGTAATATCTCCTCATACACCACGTTGCATGTAGTATTTGAGAAAGCAGGTCTGACATCATCAGGACAAATGACCATTTTAACAGACGATGCGTTTTTTGCCCTGGACATCGCGACATATAGCTGTCCGTGAGAAAAGACTGGTTCTTTCAAATATATCCCAACAAAGTCCAGGGTTTGCCCTTGCGATTTGTTTATTGTCATCGCAAAACAAACCTTTATTGGAAATTGTGTGCGCTTAAATGGCATTGCACAGTATTCATCCTTTGACATTTCAAGGGGGATCTTAGGGATAAAAACGTGTTTGCCTTTGTGATCGCCTGAGGCAATGAAACAACTCAGGACATGGTCTCCAAACGAATCGCAGATTAACCGAGTCCCATTGCAAAGGCCCTCACATGGGTTCAAATTACGGAGAAGCATCACTGGACAGTTATGTTTCAAACTCAATTTATGAGGGGGCAACCCAGTCGGGGAGAGTGTATGAAGGTAGTCTTCACAATGGACATGTTTGGAATCATTAGGGACATCATGGCTAAGATATGTGTGAGCTTCACCAGGGAATTTTTCCATGAGGTATGAGTTAATGAAATCAACGATATTGTTTTTTGTTGTAAGAATTGCACGTGACATTAGTGCATACGGATCGCTTAGAAACAGACATAAATCTGGATAAACGGCTGCAAATAGCAGATCAAGTGAGACAGCCTCATTGATCCAAGGAATAATAAATTTTGATGGGATTTTAATTCTACCTTGCGAAACAGTAGGTTCACTTGCATTGCCGATACGAAGCAGATATTCACAAAATGCTGGATCCTCATGCGCACGCATATTTGAAACAAGGTGAAACCGCTGCACATGAGGCCATATGCTGACTGAGCTTAAAATGCATGCGGCAATGAAATCAGACCTTGTCCCAGAACGGACAACAGGTAATGTCTGTCTGAAATCACCTCCAAAAACCATAACTTTCCCTCCAAAAAGCGCATTCACATCCAGTATGTCCCTCAACGTGGCATCCAAACTCTCAACCGCCGTTCTGTGGGCCATTGATGCTTCATCCCATAAGATCAAACGCGCTTCTTTGAGCAGTTTGGCCTCTGCAGACTGTTTGCCTATGTTACACATATGTTTCGATTCACCATCAAGGGGAAGTTTGAAGCGGGAATGCGCAGTACGACCACCAGGGAGGATGGATGCTGCAATGCCAGAGCTGGCAGTGGCCAAAGCTATCCATTTGTTTGTCCTAGTTGCAGCAAGCAAACATCTGTATAAATAGCTTTTTCCGGTTCCACCGGGGCCATCAACGAAGTACACACCACCCTTGCACGTATGAACAACCCCCATGATTGCATCAAATGCAGATCGCTGATGAGCATGCAATGACGAAATGCCGGCCAGATCTAAATCGCTGACACATAGATTGTATTCCGCAGCAACTTCCCTGCTGATGTTGCTCCCAATATTTGTATTCAATTGTGCGTCGATTAAACCAAATGAATTTATGTCTTTCCCCATTGAATTGAGCAAGTCACGCAGGATGTGTAGGACAGCCTGCTCTGCCGCCCCCTGGGACTGAAATCTAGCGAGATCTTCACATAAATGAGGTTTAAATTCATCCCACAATGCTCGGGGGTCAGGCACAGATGAGAAACAAAGGTGTACAGCAAATAGTTTACGCATGCTTGCGGGTAACTGGTATACAACTGCGTCAACAAGCGATTCCCGAACAACAAAATCACATGAAAGCAGTCCGAGCGATTCAGCGGCAACTCTAAACGTTGGAGAATCATCCCCACCAACGCATTTGAGATTCGCAAAAGATGTCGGTGCCCGAACATTTGCAAGCAAGAGACGGAGGTAATACCGCTCCCCCTCAACCGGGTTAACAGACACCAACCTGCCAAGTACTTCTCTCCTTTTACGTTGAGTCCACTCTTTCTTTTGACCAGTCCACACGAAATAGCAAGGAAATTCAACATATAGAAGCTTCAGTCTCTTTGCAACTTCATTAGTTGAATTCATCCAGAAGAATTGGGTCAACATAGTTTTTGCGGAATCGACTGCCTGTGTGATGTAAGTAATGCGCTGGTCCCCGTAGAACGTAAGATACTGAGAGTTTTCCAAATGAACCTGCAGCTGAATAACGGATGGACGCATTTCACTGATGGGGAAGCTGAAAATCCGTCACGCTGCTTCAGGAGGCGACACCCAACGGGCTTTTTGAAAGTCGGATATCTCATCAACAACTTCATCTTCCCGCGAAGCAGTCAACGAAAGGCTGACCCTGTCATGCCCTTTGTACACATATTTATATATGTACTTCACGGACCTGACGCTTGCACACGCTTCCACATTGATGTGGCAGTCATACTTGCTCAACAAGTATGCGTTATAAGGAACAACCCATCTGTTATCCAGTGTATGCTTACGTATTTCTACTGTGATGCCAGATTCACGCCTTCTGTAAGAAGGGAAGCAGTTGTCATCGAAGGTAGTTTCGGTGGAAAAAACATGCGGAAACTTGCTCCTGCATGCGGGAGGATCCGAGGGATTTTGTGACACCATGCAAGGGCATTTGACGTTCATATAACCACAAGGGCCATGTATCATGTGTTTTTTCACAAGCTTATACAATACTGGCTCTTTAGTAGGGCAAGGGAGCTCAGCAGAAATTAGGCAATCACAATGGGCAGCAGTGCCGATTTTACTCTCCCGCGACAAAATTAATAGGAAATGGGCATGTGGAAGGCCTCTTTTTTGAAATTCTATCACATATGTGTGGGCAACAACTTTCCCAAACAAAGCTTTTGTTATGATATCTTTTTTAAAATCTTCTAGGCGAGCGCGAAAGACGCGCGCAACAAGTTCCGGTCGATTTTGTACTTCATCGGCAAACCTCAAGTGTTCTTTAATCTCCGGCCAATTCGGGTTACACGTGATGGTGATAAACAAATCCGGTTTCCCATAGTTTTGGACAAGCGCCATGGCGTCCATGTAACGGCTGCGCATGTCACGTGGGCCACCAATGAAGGAGCCTGGCAAAACAACACGTCGACCGACCTCACTTGTGTTATGTGCGCCTGATCCAAGGCTGTCCACTAAACCTTGATAAGTTTTAGAACGAAACTCGCGCTGTTTGCTACGGTAATAATCAAGTCGTTGTGTTTCAATTTTAATATACACATCAACTATGTATTGTTGGAACAACCGACCAGTGTGAAGTATGAATGAGGTGTGTTGGTCCCGAATTTGCAATTTATATGCGTAGTATTGCCTGCATGAGACTGAATGCCTTTTCCTGCCCTCGTTGTGCTGCCTCTCCTCATCTGCTATGAGTGCATCATCTGTTTCAAATCGGGGGCAGTTAATCGAGAGTGAAGGCATGGGCTGTGGCCGCACATTTTTTGGAATCCCCTCATGCCACCCCATCTCGCCGTGTGGGAAAAGGAGAGGATATTGCAAAGGATCATAACATCCAAAATAATATTGAATGCTTTGAGACCTTCCGCTGTGTGCGTACACTTTAATGTTTCTAGTAGAGCCCAAACCCTCATCTCCATCCTCAACCCAAATAGCAGCAACCTGGGTAGACGTTGGGCGGTTGTAAACACGCTGATCCAGAGAAGGGTTGCCGTTGAGAACAATGGAAAATTCATCATCCTGCCCAACCTCCTCCAAAGACTTGAAAAACTGTGCGTATGGGTTCGTTGCCATCACGTCCATCAGCACGGACACCACTTCCCTATCCAGACGTTCTGTCGATTCCAACCTATTTTCCACAGCGTGGTCGGTATCATAGAAGTACAGTTGCAAATTACGAGGAGGGCACCCATCAGGAAGGAGGTCATTAATGAAGTGATATATCTGGCCCTGCACCCTGAAGGTATATATCCCTTGATTGCGACGACACAAATTCCTATCATAATTATAGATTCCAATGGATGTAAAGGCGAAGGTATTGTTATACGTCCTAACAGATGCTTGGAATTGCCTCGCTATATGATCACGGGATGTAAATAAATGTTGCAGTTGGGGTGGCATTTCAGTTGAAACAAGGACCACCTCACCTCGACTACAACACATGGTGGGTGGTTCATACTGAAAGCGATGAGCACCGCAAAACGTACACATTGGGACTGCCTGAAGGGTGTAACACGCATTGCGACGTGAAGAAGTAGAAGTTCCCTCATCTAAACAATGAGTCACAATAAATGACAGCGCACGGACGTCGTAAGTAGGGTGGAAAAAAATGCAGCAATCAACCCCACCATTATGAATATTATAGAGTGAGGAATGTTACATTGGATGTACATTGAATATTACATTGAATATTCCAGTGAAACGTTACATTAACGCAAGTTAATATGGAATGGTAAGTCATGTGGTGTTGTTTTTTGTAAATATCAACGGATCAAATAATAAATGATTCGACATACATGTGACGTTTAATGGGTTTTGGATAAGGAGATTAAGGGCAGCACACAAAACAAAAAATAGTTAGTCCTTTGCATGGAAGCAACTGCACTATGGCACATAAAACATGACAAAATCAGTCAGCACAAACCTGTGGCTTTACCAGCGCCAAACGATTGCGCAGGCGAGTCTGTGGGATGATCACTACCCGTTAGACGCCCTGCCTTTTTGTTTGCACGCGCAAGCCGCTGGCGTTTGTTCACGCGAGCTCGTTGCTCTTCCGGAGTCACAACAGACCCATAACCACGCCATGATGACATTGGGCAGCTGGGACAAAGACACGGGCCGAGTCTGTGCAATCTACACCCCTGCCCCCCTCCAGCAAATAACACGAATAACAACACCACCCCGGTTTCGCGCAGATGAGGCGAAGAGATTTGTCAAATGAAGTTTTTTAGACTCCTAATTCTAAGACCTTCCCTTAGCTTTACTTAATGGTCAAAACATCACTGTAAACCGTCTAAAACAACACAGGATACAACAAGCAGTTATAAATGGGTTGACCAAGCCAAATCCAAAAAGGGACAAACACAATTTTAAAACAAATGTAAACTACTAAGGGAAACATTAACCACGACAGAATACAGTTTAATAAACAACAGTGGGAGTCGAGTACTCACAGAGAACACAAGAGGACAACTCCAAGTTGCAAAATAAACCTTGAACCCTGCAAAGAAACAAAAAAGGTTTTACACTTTTGAAGGGGCTTTCTTTTCTCAGCTGCCACATCAACAAAAGGGAAAAAGTGGAAAGAAGCAGGAAATTATCTTCATGGGTTTGCGTTCTCACTCATCAGCACCCACTTAAAACACACCACTATAGCACGAAGCTAAACACATTTAATTTTGTTCATGTCAAACTTGGGGTTGTTCTCCTTTCTTCCATAGTTTCAAGACCCACGCCCAACAAAGAAAGAATGAAGAAAGAAGCACCAGAAACCATTTAAAAAACCCCCAGCACTTCAGCACCCACTTATAACAAACCACCATAGCAAGAATCCAAACAGATTTATTTTTGTTCATATCAAAGTGGGGGCTGTTCCAAACCTTTTTAAAGTGAAAAGCGTCCAAAAGCGTCGACTTTGGGTTTTGCTTTAAAGCGAAAGCGCCAAGCGAAGCGTAGCTTTTGCACAAATAGCGTTGTTTATAAAAAAATAAAATAAAATAAAATATATAATGTATAACTAATCTAAAAATGCATAAGTAATCATAAGAGTGCATAAACAAGTGTATATCTTTATATATTATTAATTTACAACATATTCTCTACCTTCTTTTAGCAAGTATTAGTAATTTCCTATCTCAAGTTCATTAGAACACACCATAAAAAACTGCATCAAGGAAACTTGCCAACTCCAAGACAACTTTATAAGTGGTTCAAGTAACTTCTGGGAAAACTGATGTTTTTCATTTCTATCAAGAATTTGCAAAACTTGCTCTTATTCATTTTAATTAAATCTGAAACAACATAAAATTGCTGAAAACTTTATCAGACCAATGCTCTAATAAAAAATGGTTCTTGCAATTGTATTTCAAAATTCAATTCTATTCGAAACAAGTTCAATTAAAAGAACAGGAAAAAGATTGACCTGAAAATTATATGCTGCAATAATAACTTAAAATTCAGAATCCAAATAGACCAGACCATATAGGAAAACCATATAGGAAAACTATACGACAATTTTTTTTAAAGACCATATAAAATTTTAGACGCCCTGCCTTTTTGTTTGCACGCGCAAGCCGCTGGCGTTTGTTCACGCGAGCTCGTTGCTCTTCCGGAGTCACAACAGACCCATAACCACGCCATGATGACATTGGGCAGCTGGGACAAAGACACGGGCCGAGTCTGTGCAATCTACACCCCTGCCCCCCTCCAGCAAATAACACGAATAACAACACCACCCCGGTTTCGCGCAGATGAGGCGAAGAGATTTGTCAAATGAAGTTTTTTAGACTCCTAATTCTAAGACCTTCCCTTAGCTTTACTTAATGGTCAAAACATCGCTGTAAACCGTCTAAAACAACACAGGATACAACAAGCAGTTATAAATGGGTTGACCAAGCCAAATCCAAAAAGGGACAAGCACAATTTTAAAACAAATGTAAACTACTAAGGGAAACATTAACCACGACAGAATACAGTTTAATAAACAACAGTGGGAGTCGAGTACTCACAGAGAACACAAGAGGACAACTCCAAGTTGCAAAATAAACCTTGAACCCTGCAAAGAAACAAAAAAGGTTTTACACTTTTGAAGGGGCTTTCTTTTCTCAGCTGCCACATCAACAAAAGGGAAAAAGTGGAAAGAAGCAGGAAATTATCTTCATGGGTTTGCGTTCTCACTCATCAGCACCCACTTAAAACACACCACTATAGCACGAAGCTAAACACATTTAATTTTGTTCATGTCAAACTTGGGGTTGTTCTCCTTTCTTCCATAGTTTCAAGACCCACGCCCAACAAAGAAAGAATGAAGAAAGAAGCACCAGAAACCATTTTAAAAACCCCCAGCACTTCAGCACCCACTTATAACAAACCACCATAGCAAGAATCCAAACAGATTTATTTTTGTTCATATCAAAGTGGGGGCTGTTCCAAACCTTTTTAAAGTGAAAAGCGTCCAAAAGCGTCGACTTTGGGTTTTGCTTTAAAGCGAAAGCGCCAAGCGAAGCGTAGCTTTTGCACAAATAGCGTTGTTTATAAAAAAATAAAATAAAATAAAATATATAATGTATAACTAATCTAAAAATGCATAAGTAATCATAAGAGTGCATAAACAAGTGTATATCTTTATATATTATTAATTTACAACATATTCTCTACCTTCTTTTAGCAAGTATTAGTAATTTCCTATCTCAAGTTCATTAGAACACACCATAAATCCCAATTTTGATTCGATTAGGAACGAAGGTTATAGATTAATAACAGCAGGAACATTGAGTTAAGCAAAAGTAAATAACAACACTTTTACCTGTGAATAACCTGAAAAGACAGAGTGCAGAAAAATGAAAAACACAAAATATACACCACAAACACTCGAAATAAAACAAAAAGGATAGAAATATTGAATAAAAACTTGTAGAATGTGTTAATATCATCAACCTTGTCGGAGGTATAGCTATTCCGATTACCACCTAAGCAGTTGGACTTCGCAGATTAAGACTGCCGCAGTAGTATTTGATCAGTAGTAAACAACCAGCTACTTGTTCTATTGATTAACTTTTTTTTCAAAGACATTTAAATTGGATAATACTTATAAGCGTAATTCAAAATTGATGATTTCAGATGGCTGCATAAATAAAAATACTTAAACGTTGGCAAACTCAGTAATGATGTATTTTAAATGTCTATAAAGTCGACCAAATTTTAAGCCTAAAAAACTGCATCAAGGAAACTTGCCAACTCCAAGACAACTTTACAAGTGGTTCAAGTAACTTCTGGGAAAACTGATGTTTTTCATTTCTATCAAGAATTTGCAAAACTTGCTCTTATTCATTTTAATTAAATCTGAAACAACATAAAATTGCTGAAAACTTTATCAGACCAATGCTCTAATAAAAAATGGTTCTTGCAATTGTATTTCAAAATTCAATTCTATTCGAAACAGGTTCAATTAAAAGAACAGGAAAAAGATTGACCTGAAAATTATATGCTGCAATAATAACTTAAAATTCAGAATCCAAATACACCAGACCATATAGGAAAACCATATAGGAAAACTATACGACAATTTTTTTAAAGACCATATAAAATTTTAGACGCCCTGCCTTTTTGTTTGCACGCGCAAGCCGCTGGCGTTTGTTCACGCGAGCTCGTTTCTCTTCCGGAGTCACAACAGACCCATAACCACGCCATGATGACATTGGGCAGCTGGGACAAAGACACGGGCCGAGTCTGTGCAATCTACACCCCTGCCCCCCTCCAGCAAATAACACGAATAACAACACCACCCCGGTTTCGCGCAGATGAGGCGAAGAGATTTGTCAAATGAAGTTTTTTAGACTCCTAATTCTAAGACCTTCCCTTAGCTTTACTTAATGGTCAAAACATCACTGTAAACCGTCTAAAACAACACAGGATACAACAAGCAGTTATAAATGGGTTGACCAAGCCAAATCCAAAAAGGGACAAGCACAATTTTAAAACAAATGTAAACTACTAAGGGAAACATTAACCACGACAGAATACAGTTTAATAAACAACAGTGGGAGTCGAGTACTCACAGAGAACACAAGAGGACAACTCCAAGTTGCAAAATAAACCTTGAACCCTGCAAAGAAACAAAAAAGGTTTTACACTTTTGAAGGGGCTTTCTTTTCTCAGCTGCCACATCAACAAAAGGGAAAAAGTGGAAAGAAGCAGGAAATTATCTTCATGGGTTTGCGTTCTCACTCATCAGCACCCACTTAAAACACACCACTATAGCACGAAGCTAAACATATTTAATTTTGTTCATGTCAAACTTGGGGTTGTTCTCCTTTCTTCCATAGTTTCAAGACCCACGCCCAACAAAGAAAGAATGAAGAAAGAAGCACCAGAAACCATTTTAAAAACCCCCAGCACTTCAGCACCCACTTATAACAAACCACCATAGCAAGAATCCAAACAGATTTATTTTTGTTCATATCAAAGTGGGGGCTGTTCCAAACCTTTTTAAAGTGAAAAGCGTCCAAAAGCGTCGACTTTGGGTTTTGCTTTAAAGCGAAAGCGCCAAGCGAAGCGTAGCTTTTGCACAAATAGCGTTGTTTATAAAAAAATAAAATAAAATAAAATATATAATGTATAACTAATCTAAAAATGCATAAGTAATCATAAGAGTGCATAAACAAGTGTATATCTTTATATATTATTAATTTACAACATATTCTCTACCTTCTTTTAGCAAGTATTAGTAATTTCCTATCTCAAGTTCATTAGAACACACCATAAAAAACTGCATCAAGGAAACTTGCCAACTCCAAGACAACTTTATAAGTGGTTCAAGTAACTTCTGGGAAAACTGATGTTTTTCATTTCTATCAAGAATTTGCAAAACTTGCTCTTATTCATTTTAATTAAATCTGAAACAACATAAAATTGCTGAAAACTTTATCAGACCAATGCTCTAATAAAAAATGGTTCTTGCAATTGTATTTCAAAATTCAATTCTATTCGAAACAAGTTCAATTAAAAGAACAGGAAAAAGATTGACCTGAAAATTATATGCTGCAATAATAACTTAAAATTCAGAATCCAAATAGACCAGACCATATAGGAAAACCATATAGGAAAACTATACGACAATTTTTTTTAAAGACCATATAAAATTTTAGACGCCCTGCCTTTTTGTTTGCACGCGCAAGCCGCTGGCGTTTGTTCACGCGAGCTCGTTGCTCTTCCGGAGTCACAACAGACCCATAACCACGCCATGATGACATTGGGCAGCTGGGACAAAGACACGGGCCGAGTCTGTGCAATCTACACCCCTGCCCCCCTCCAGCAAATAACACGAATAACAACACCACCCCGGTTTCGCGCAGATGAGGCGAAGAGATTTGTCAAATGAAGTTTTTTAGACTCCTAATTCTAAGACCTTCCCTTAGCTTTACTTAATGGTCAAAACATCGCTGTAAACCGTCTAAAACAACACAGGATACAACAAGCAGTTATAAATGGGTTGACCAAGCCAAATCCAAAAAGGGACAAGCACAATTTTAAAACAAATGTAAACTACTAAGGGAAACATTAACCACGACAGAATACAGTTTAATAAACAACAGTGGGAGTCGAGTACTCACAGAGAACACAAGAGGACAACTCCAAGTTGCAAAATAAACCTTGAACCCTGCAAAGAAACAAAAAAGGTTTTACACTTTTGAAGGGGCTTTCTTTTCTCAGCTGCCACATCAACAAAAGGGAAAAAGTGGAAAGAAGCAGGAAATTATCTTCATGGGTTTGCGTTCTCACTCATCAGCACCCACTTAAAACACACCACTATAGCACGAAGCTAAACATATTTAATTTTGTTCATGTCAAACTTGGAGTTGTTCTCCTTTCTTCCATAGTTTCAAGACCCACGCCCAACAAAGAAAGAATGAAGAAAGAAGCACCAGAAACCATTTTAAAAACCCCCAGCACTTCAGCACCCACTTATAACAAACCACCATAGCAAGAATCCAAACAGATTTATTTTTGTTCATATCAAAGTGGGGGCTGTTCCAAACCTTTTTAAAGTGAAAAGCGTCCAAAAGCGTCGACTTTGGGTTTTGCTTTAAAGCGAAAGCGCCAAGCGAAGCGTAGCTTTTGCACAAATAGCGTTGTTTATAAAAAAATAAAATAAAATAAAATATATAATGTATAACTAATCTAAAAATGCATAAGTAATCATAAGAGTGCATAAACAAGTGTATATCTTTATATATTATTAATTTACAACATATTCTCTACCTTCTTTTAGCAAGTATTAGTAATTTCCTATCTCAAGTTCATTAGAACACACCATAAAAAACTGCATCAAGGAAACTTGCCAACTCCAAGACAACTTTATAAGTGGTTCAAGTAACTTCTGGGAAAACTGATGTTTTTCATTTCTATCAAGAATTTGCAAAACTTGCTCTTATTCATTTTAATTAAATCTGAAACAACATAAAATTGCTGAAAACTTTATCAGACCAATGCTCTAATAAAAAATGGTTCTTGCAATTGTATTTCAAAATTCAATTCTATTCGAAACAAGTTCAATTAAAAGAACAGGAAAAAGATTGACCTGAAAATTATATGCTGCAATAATAACTTAAAATTCAGAATCCAAATAGACCAGACCATATAGGAAAACCATATAGGAAAACTATACGACAATTTTTTTTAAAGACCATATAAAATTTTAGACGCCCTGCCTTTTTGTTTGCACGCGCAAGCCGCTGGCGTTTGTTCACGCGAGCTCGTTGCTCTTCCGGAGTCACAACAGACCCATAACCACGCCATGATGACATTGGGCAGCTGGGACAAAGACACGGGCCGAGTCTGTGCAATCTACACCCCTGCCCCCCTCCAGCAAATAACACGAATAACAACACCACCCCGGTTTCGCGCAGATGAGGCGAAGAGATTTGTCAAATGAAGTTTTTTAGACTCCTAATTCTAAGACCTTCCCTTAGCTTTACTTAATGGTCAAAACATCGCTGTAAACCGTCTAAAACAACACAGGATACAACAAGCAGTTATAAATGGGTTGACCAAGCCAAATCCAAAAAGGGACAAGCACAATTTTAAAACAAATGTAAACTACTAAGGGAAACATTAACCACGACAGAATACAGTTTAATAAACAACAGTGGGAGTCGAGTACTCACAGAGAACACAAGAGGACAACTCCAAGTTGCAAAATAAACCTTGAACCCTGCAAAGAAACAAAAAAGGTTTTACACTTTTGAAGGGGCTTTCTTTTCTCAGCTGCCACATCAACAAAAGGGAAAAAGTGGAAAGAAGCAGGAAATTATCTTCATGGGTTTGCGTTCTCACTCATCAGCACCCACTTAAAACACACCACTATAGCACGAAGCTAAACATATTTAATTTTGTTCATGTCAAACTTGGGGTTGTTCTCCTTTCTTCCATAGTTTCAAGACCCACGCCCAACAAAGAAAGAATGAAGAAAGAAGCACCAGAAACCATTTTAAAAACCCCCAGCACTTCAGCACCCACTTATAACAAACCACCATAGCAAGAATCCAAACAGATTTATTTTTGTTCATATCAAAGTGGGGGCTGTTCCAAACCTTTTTAAAGTGAAAAGCGTCCAAAAGCGTCGACTTTGGGTTTTGCTTTAAAGCGAAAGCGCCAAGCGAAGCGTAGCTTTTTCACAAATAGCGTTGTTTATAAAAAAATAAAATAAAATAAAATATATAGGCTGCGTTTGGGAATTGGCGTTTCAGCCTGAAAATCAGAGGATTTGACCAATTTGGCGTTTTCAACAGTTGAAATCGTTGTTTCTTGTTGTTTGGCAAATAGCGATTAAACTTAGCGTTTAGGGTGAATCCGCCAAAAATTAAAACGCCAGAGATAGGAGCGTTTAGATTTGGCGTTTTCAATTAATCACTGGATTAGCAATCGTGCCCTCTCATCTTCATTGGATTTGTTCTTGCTGCAGATACGTGAAGTCTATCCCCTCTAGGGTACAGTGCTTTTAGTGGCTGATTTGCTGCGGAAGACACATGCTACACAGAGCTTCAGGGAAGAATTTTTCTTAAAGCACCGATTGAATGTTCCCTATAAGAATTTTTTCCCTAGCGCTTTGGCTGATTTCCTATGGAAAACACATGTACGGTGCGTCGTGCTTTTGCCTTTTGGTGGCTGATTTTTTCTCGGGAGAAGGCTCAAAAAAGACACTAAAGTTATATGGGAAGTTCAAATTTAACACTAATATTTTAATAGGACCAAATAAACCCATAAATGACTTATTTTAGTAACATTTAGCCACCCACTAACTTTTCTTTTGACCGACTATCCTAAAAACGTTAACCCATCCCTTATCCCTTTGATTTAAGGCTACAAACCAGATAAATACAATTCCAGATGGTGCTCCATGGCCATTGAATCCTCATATCTCCATTATCGATCACCGGCTTTCGTATTTCCGGAATATAAATCACAACCGTTGGAGTATGAGGTGAATCCCGAACCGAGCTCATTGACATCTGTCCACAGGTTGAAAACACCGATGTTAGGTGGGGTGAATTTTGAAGATCTGCTCAATTACTTTACTGCCCACCGGAAGCGAAGAAATTTATCCACGGCCGGCGGATTAATGGAACCGCTGCCGTCGTAGCCGCTGGAGACAAAGAACTTCTCCAAGAATAGTGAATTTCACTACATCCGTGGATGGTTTTGAGACTACCAGCGAAGTAAAGAACGAGTAAAATCGCAACCATAAGAATAATCACAACTAAGAAACGTAACTGGGCGGAGTTATTTTGTGTAATTTTCTCCTCTTGTTCGTCTTCTTATTTTTTACTTCTTTAGTGTATTAACAATCTATTCTCACAATCTCAAGTGTTTGGGATGAAGGAATTCAAAGGGAAGCATGGGTGGTGGAGATGTATCACAAAACGTACAATATGTAGTAATACACCTGCGTTGGAAAATAGAAATCATAAGAAGAATAGAAGATGATAGGTTTAGACTTTAGAATATATAGAGAGAAGGTGAGGCATGAGTGGAAGTTAGATGATAAAAAAATGTTAACGGGCACCGTTAGTGAAACGTGAGTGGGTGGCCAAATATTATCAAAATAAGTGGGTTTTGTGTTAATTTGGTCCACCTAAAAGCTAAGTGTTCAATTTGAGATTGACAAATAACCTTAATGTTCTTTTTGAACCTTCTCCCATTTTTTCTCCTCTAGAACTCGAACTCTCTCTTGGGTCGTTGGCCTAGATATCATATTGATTTGTACTGTTGTTGTGCTTTTAATCGACCGTGTACTCTGCTTTAAGTGAGAAAATTATAGGTTAAAACATAAAAGCTACAACGAATATACGAAGTATAATTGTGGTTTGAATTCGTATATGAATGTCCTTTTCCAGTAAGTTCGTATAGATGATCACAATAATATGAATGTCGGTTAAATCATAAGGATTCGATGATTAAAGAAACTAATAAATATTTGTTAATGTCCTTATATGTCTTTTTATCTATTAATCGCTAGGATCAAACAGCTGCTTTACCAAACATCTTTTTACAATCCGCTAAATGAATCCGCTGGTCAAATCCGCTAACACAATCCGCCATTAGCAATCCGCTAACATAATCTGCTAACCGCCAACCGCTAACAGCTGATTGCCAAACATACCCATAATGTATAACTAATCTAAAAATGCATAAGTAATCATAAGAGTGCATAAACAAGTGTATATCTTTATATATTATTAATTTACAACATATTCTCTACCTTCTTTTAGCAAGTATTAGTAATTTCCTATCTCAAGTTCATTAGAACACACCATAAAAAACTGCATCAAGGAAACTTGCCAACTCCAAGACAACTTTATAAGTGGTTCAAGTAACTTCTGGGAAAACTGATGTTTTTCATTTCTATCAACAATTTGCAAAACTTGCTCTTATTCATTTTAATTAAATCTGAAACAACATAAAATTGCTGAAAACTTTATCAGACCAATGCTCTAATAAAAAATGGTTCTTGCAATTGTATTTCAAAATTCAATTCTATTCGAAACAGGTTCAATTAAAAGAACAGGAAAAAGATTGACCTGAAAATTATATGCTGCAATAATAACTTAAAATTCAGAATCCAAATAGACCAGACCATATAGGAAAACCATATAGGAAAACTATACGACAATTTTTTTTAAAGACCATATAAAATTTTAGAGAAGCTTGTTGACCGGTCAATCGATGAAGCTTTCTGGTTGTCGCAGTTCTGGAAAAGAACCGGACTCAAGCCTAAATGATCGCAGACTAAAAAAAACTTACTACTTGTTGACTGGTCAATCGGTTTTTGTGAGAAGCGGAGAAGCAGAAGAAAGCGAACAATTGACTGGAAAAGCGAACAAGAAACGAAAAAAACACAACAAAGTCAAGAGAACATACCGTTGAAGAAGCACCTCAACCTCAAGAAGACTACAGTGAAAGAACAATGAAATGGTCCAAAGAAATAGGCAAACTTGTAGGAGTTGAAGGTTCCGCCGACTTCATCATGACTAACAGTGTATGGAAGGGACGCCGGTTCCATCAAGTAAGAAAAGCAGAAAGATGCTCTCGAAAATGTCGAAAAGATAATAGCAAACAAAAAATAGAAACCCACGTGGAATAGACGGCCGTTGCTTTCCGAAGCCCTAAACCTTTGCGCACGTTTAGTTGGGGGAGCACGTAGTAACGGGCGTTGACTCATTTAACACCCTTCCACATATTATATACACTACACTATATACACTACACTATATATATATATATATATATATATATATATATATATATATATATATATATATATATTTTGGGTTTTCCTAATCAACCCCCTACCCTCCCCCTCAACCCCAAACCACCCCAAAATACTCACTCCAACCCAAAAGCTTTTAAAAAATTCAAAAAAAAAAAAATTAAATCCGGCCCGGACCGGGCCCGAACCGACCGGGCCGGTTCACCAAAATGAAGGCCCGAGCCCGGAAGCGGTAGCCACCAGGCCGGGTCGACCCAAACCGCCCATGGGCCGGGCCGGTTCAAACAGTGATCGGGCCGTGCCGGTTCCGGTTCGGGCCGCCCGGCCCGAGTCCATCCCTAACTATAAGATATATAGTGTGGGTTTAATACACACGACTAAGAGATAGAGTGATACATACTTATACTAATTTATCTTTTTATTTTGTTTAAAATAACACATCACATATATGTATTCTATGTTACTTATATTTAGTAGAGCCTTTGTATATTTAAACAAGGAAAAATTGAATATAATAATCCCAACTATTGCCGGCCCGCTAACAATAATCCCAACTATTGATTATTTTTGTATAATCCCAACTATATGGATCATCCGCCAATAATGGTCCATGACCAAATATTACCTTTTATAAAAGTGAATTTTAAATAGAAATTAAGCGTAAAAATTAAAAGTTGAGATTATTTATAGAGATTATTTGCTATATCTCTTCTCATCCACTTCAGAAAGTACATTAATTTATGTACATAGACTGTTATTGGCGGAAGGACCCTAAAGTTGGGATTATTCTAAAATAATCGATAGTTGGGATTATTATAAGCGGACTGCCAATAATTGGGATTATTACAATCAATTTTTCCTTTAAACAATAAGTCTATTTGTTTATGTTCACTCTCAATCTAATTATTTAATTATAAATTATGAATTAACTATCCTGCACGAAGGCAAAATTTAATTACTATGCTGAAAGCCAAATTTAATTATATAGCCCAATAGCGTGATTAAATTATTCTGCCCGAGGGCCTAATTTAATTATCCATCTCGATAGTCTCTTATTATTCACTAAGCCAAGTATTACTTCCCTTATCCCTTTCCCGCCACCGATCCAACCGCTGCTAGGGGTGCACAATTCGGTAACATTTTAAATATAATGGCACTTAAATGGGAGAGACAAAAAATTGATTTGATTAGTAATCAAATAGTGTCTAGTTGTACAGTGTACTCAATGCAGAGTTGATATCAATGGCTAGTAGGTGTCACAGTGGAGGAGTAATGGAAGAGCTAGACGATGGGGTAGAACTTTATGTTGCCACGGAAAGTAAAAAAAAGCTTTATGGAAACTTTAATTTGTTCAGGATGTTAATCCACAACGGGTGTGTTACGCCAAATACATGTGGAGTGTGGGGTGGCTTGTGGGTTTTGTGATGGAGGGGCCATGTTAAGTTGGCTCACCATACCTTAATTTATCGAGTGTCCTTGCACACGTAATGTTTAGGCAGAAATGGGTTGAAGCTTGTTCAGGGTTTGATACATTTTTACATAGGTAGAGACTCTTTCTCAATCAAAATTGTGATAAATATTATGAAAAGATCATGTTTTGTTGGTGTATTTGACGAGCAAGAAATTTGAAGGTTTGGAGGGGCTCAATTTGGGTCACAAGTCAAAAAGTGTGTGTAGCACGGCCTTCTTGGTAGGGGTGTCATAAAGCACAAAACGCACTTGGTAGTGATTGTGTTTTAGGT